AAAAAAAAAAAAAAAAAAAAAAAAAAAAAGAAACACAGTACATCTGAAACTAAAAGTTAAAAACTAAGAAAATGATGCTAAAGATATTCGAACTCGGTTTAGGATGGAAGAAAAGTTTAGAAAGCCAACTTTACCAAGAGAAACTTATGTCCCTATTGTAATTTAAAAAAAATAGTGACACACAACAAATTTATACTACGACAGAGGAAATAAACAATAGCACATGCCACCTATGGCACCCTTCTGAGTCCATCCATGCTTTGGCATAACGGGACAATCGACAAAAAAGGTTTATTTCGAGAGCTTAAGATCTAGTTTTGGTACCACGAGAATTACCGAACAAGAGTTTATTTCAGGAGCTCCAAATCGAGTAAAGAGAGATGCAAACAATGGTTGTCCATAGCTTACTCAATGTGAACGAAGCCAGAAGGAACAAATGTAAAAATATACTGATTTATTTACCTATTTTATCCTTAGAATATGTTATATTTTTTAAGTTGGTTTGTTTTTGTACAAATTATTATTTATAGACCAACAAATAAGACCGTTGGATAAAATGTATCTCAAGCATGAAAATACGATGTCCGATGGTTATATTCGACGATTAGACAACTAGAAAATACGTTACTTAACAATATACGAGTTAAATGAATATCTTATTTATTGGTTTTTATTTCAAAAAATTCAACTTACAAATAAAATACATGTTTAAATAGAAGAAACAATTTTTCATTTCAGAATTTTCAACAGTACAACAAGTTGTGTCATAACAGATTAAGTTACATAAACATTGGAACAAAAGCAACTACAATAACTGGACTTAGGGATGTTTGTGGCCTGGTTTAGACGGCTTAATCCCCCAAACCACAAACTAAACCGTAATGGCGGCTTAGAAATTTTCCAAACCGAACGGTTTGGCCGCAAACAGTAATTGGAATGACAAACATTGAGCAATTTGGATTTTTGACGGATTTGAGGATTTTGTCTATTTAGATGACACGATCACTTAAGAAATGAAAACTAAAGATATAATGTATTGGATTGGGTTTCGATGATAATGTAAATTATGACAAGAAGGGTAAGAATCACCATTGGATTAATACTAATTGAAGATGAACAGTAATGAGATGTACTGAGATGAACCAAATCAATTCTCGTATCAAAAGCAACTAATGGGTTGGGGATGAGATTAAAAGTGATCAAGGCCCATATCCCTTTTTACCCTTTCCATCTTAACTCTTGTTCTCACAACATCATTCATCTAGATCTTTATAGATATAATACAAAATTTATATACGGATTTAAAACATATAGATATATAAAAGTTTTAGACCAAGGATCGTGTCAGAAGTGTAAGAAAATATCTGAACCCTCAGTGTCAACCCATTCCATGTGAATTGCATTACTCATGAGAATTAATCTAGTGCATCTTGATGCATGTGAATTGCATTACTCATGAGTAGGCATGGCAACGGGGCGGGGATGGGGCGGGGATTGTAATCCCCGGCCTCGGCCCCGGTTTGTAATACCGTCCCCCGGCCCCGGCCCCGGTCCCCGGCGGGTACGGGGATTACCATCTCGTCCCCGGTCAAATTCTAGATTTCCCCGGTCAAAACCCGGTAAACCCCGGTCAATCCCCGGTCAAAACCCGGTAAAAAGTATGCTTTAGTTTGATTATACCGGGGATCCCCGGCCCCGACCCCGGCCCCGTTTYGAGTAACATTCCCCGTCCCCGGCCCCGTCCCCGGTTTGAGTCTACCGGGGATCCCCGGCCCCGGCCCCGAGACCCGTTTTAGCGGGGAATCCCCGTCCCCGTTCGGGTCGGGTGAACCGGGTTCCCCACCGGGTCGGGGCAAATCACCATCCCTACTCATGAGAATTGATCTAGTGCATCTTGATGCATATTATCCATATTGATGATTGATATCATTTCTTACCATAATTTATATTCTCACAAGAATTGATCTGCTGCTTCTCGATGTACACCGATCTATGTTTTTATGACAACTTTCATTCTCACCGAATACTAACGATAATTATGGAAGGAGGGAAGAAATGGGATTGGGTTTTTAGGAATGGGGGAACTCCTTTTGTGAAGGGGAAAATATTTTTGTCCACGTGGTGCCAAGTATCGGAGAGAATCCCCGGAGCTGCGATCGACGACGTTGTCTCTCTCTCTCTCTCTAGAGTCTAGTAAGATAAAGTCGTGTCGCCGATAGGTAAAACCCACCCCCAATCACTCGCTCTATCTGGCTAGCTTCCGTAAATCTCCTAATCTTCACCCCAATCACGTACTTCCCTTAACCCATTTTCATCTATCTACGCAACACCAACTCGTACGACTCGATTTCCACTTCTAGGGTTTCTTCTTTTCCGTTAATGGTCAACCGATGAACTGATTTTTAGCTTTGCCTCATTCAATTTCAATGATGGAAGTTCCTAATTCGGGAGTTGAGAGTCAAACTCTTGACCGGAGTCAACAGATTGACGGCGATGTGTCGAAGTTAGTTGTTGCCGATGGTGGAGTTAAGGTGGAGGTTGGTAATGCTGGTGGAGGAGCTCAAGTTGTGAAGAGGAAGCGAGGGCGGCCGCCTAAGGTTCAGGCGAATCCGCTGTCTGGTAAGAAGAGTAAAGAAGAGGACGAAGATGAGGACGTTTGTTTCATTTGCTTCGATGGCGGGAGTCTCGTGCTATGCGATCGCCGGTTTGTCTCGTCTTTTTTTTTTGCTTGATCCGTAGAACTGCTGTGTCCGTTTTTGGGTATTTGATAAATGTATTCTTTTATTGAACTGCATGTGATTAGCATTTTCATTCAAAGAAATTAATTTTTGTTCAATCGATGATTATATCAAGGTTTTTCCTTGTAGGGGTAAATGTAGTACGATAAAATTATATGCTTTTTAAGCTGATGAACAGGCTGATTATGTTTTACCTTTTGGGTGTAGGGGCTGTCCAAAGGCATACCATCCTGCTTGTATCAAGCGAGACGAAGCATTTTTTAAATCCAAAGCTAAATGGAACTGCGGTATGTTGCTGTTCATGTTTATGCTGTGTAATTGTTTTGGTTTGCTTCATGATTCATGTTGTTCTCCTAGAAAAAGAAGTTCATACCACTAGCTATGATCTTGATACATGTGTTAGGATGATGGTAATAGAATGCTGGCTTCACTATTATTAAACACACATGGGGGAATTTCTGAATGTGCAGAAATGACTACATATATGGTTATTGTTGCTCACAGAGCAAAATAAAGTGGGACTGTAGTTATCACTATTGAGATATGGAGTAGGCATGGCTGTTAAGAAACCTTCTGGGTTCAGTTAGGTTGGTGCTAAGTGCATCAACTCTTGAGGTTCAAGATTTTGCCTAGATATGTCATATATATTTTAACATTTCTCTCCATCAATTTTCTTTGAACATTTCTATTCAAATTAATTGTGTGCATGTAAGTTGTTTGTGGGTACTTGAGTTTATGAACGAAAGACACATTCTTGAGAATTTGTTAAAGACAATGACTGCGGAACTAGATTCCAGATGGACTTCTACTGTCAATATTTAGTTATTTACCATAATAATTTACCCATTTGAGAGCTAGACGAGGAAGGGCCTATTTAATACAAAGAACAATGCTACACGATTGACGTTTCTTGGCTTTATTGCCTTGATTTGCTCAGATTCATGCTGTTGCTTAATGTTACCTGTGGTTCCTCTTACTTTTACCCTATATTAACTTTGGGATTTATTGCATATTTATATCTATTCGCTTACTATCCATGTTCTCAAACAAGTTTTCCGTTTATCCCTATTAAAAAAATTCAACAATGTAGGTCATGTGTATGGTAAAGTCGGCATAAGAATTCAACTAGTTCGAAGTGAATGTAAAGCCATTCTTTTGTAACTCATTTGACTAAATGAGTCAATACGCTATTACAGAAAATGAATGTGAAGCTGGAGGAATAACTCTAAATGTAAATTAGTTAGGTTCTTAGCATAGTGAATTCTTCACCTTCCAAATATTGTTGCTTACGATACTTGATTTCTTTTTGGTTCATTTTCCTTGTTGTTTGTTGGCCACACCCCTCTTTTTCTTTTTGGACTTCTTTCCTATCATTACTTTCATAGGTTATTTTGTTTGACGTCAAGTTATTTTGAAATAAAGATTGCTGTCTGACAGTGATAACTTACGAAAAAGGAAACAGAAAACAAATGACATGTATATGATTATATCTATGGTATAGTTTCCAACTTATTATTATTCATTCCACCCAGTCGTTTTCTTTTATATTTCCTGTAAATCAATGCGATATTGGTGTAGAAAATCCAAATCATGCTTCTCTTTTTCAGAAACTACCATTATCTGCTTGGCATCTTGAGAAGCCAAAAAATTTCATGGAGTTCCCAATTTGAACGCAAAAGGCAGCTCTTCCACAAATTAGTAACATGTTGGACAGGGTAGGTATCACTTAGGCATCAAGGGGTAGATGTTGTTCAATCATTCAATGCTTTTTTGGGGGGCATCTTGGCGGAGTTATAACCTTAATTATGGACCTCTTTGAGATCCTAAAAGAGTGCAACTCAATTTGTGCCAAAGAAAGAGACTAACATATTGCACAATGGTTTTTTCTTTTGGGGGGGGGGGGGTTGAACGATGCAAGAGGGAGATGAAAATTTTGCATGTAAGTGAACAAGGAAGAGAGATAATTTAGTGGTGAATAATTTGACAGCCAAAAATGTTAGAGATAAAAATGTATACAACACATTGAGAGTAACCCTGTTTGAAATGGGTACTGCTTATGCAAACTCTTGCATTTTCAAAATCCTTAAGAACTTCATATTGCAGGTTTCCAGAAATATTACCAGCTGGGTATTGAATTTTCTATATGTGAAGTCACTTGATATTGAAGTTTTAAGTGTTCAGTTCAAAAGTTAGCTTTCTAGCATATTTCTCGACTATCTTGATATCAATTGCAAAAGCTAATTGAGTTGGTTGCAAGATTCTTTAATATCATTGTGTTTATATGAATTTCAGGTTGGCATATTTGTAGCATATGCGAGAAGACAGCACATAACATGTGCTTTACTTGTACATATTCATTGTGCAAAGGGTGCGCTAAAAAGGCTGATTTTGTGTGTGTGAGAGATGATAAAGGCTTTTGTACTGTTTGCATGAAAACAATCATGCTGATTGAAAATAGTGGACGAGGGAAGGATGAAACGGTATGCAAACTATGTTTCCTAATTTACTGTTGATATATGTAATGTGGCTGAATATTTTCTATATAAACAATACTTCTTTTGGGTTGGGTAGGCAAGATCTTTCTACATTTTTTCATCTTTGGATTATGATGCTATAATTGGGAATTTGATATTTTTGTGACCGAAGGTAACAATTAGAATAATGTATGGATTTTTATGTGCTACAAAAGAATGTTGCTGTTTTTTTTTGCAATAAACCGAACCAAACCAAACGTACCCACTATATCCCACTCTGAGGTAGGGTTTAGGGTGAGTATGCATGTAGTCCTTTCCTCTACCCCTAAAAGGGTAGAGAGGCTATGTTTTTTGGAATGATTATACCATTTGCAATTTCCTAGGTTAATGATGTCTTGTTAGGAATAATTTGACATTATCATATTTTTATTGTTAAGATTATTGGACTATATGTATCATTTTGAACTAAGGATTTATAAAGTAATGGCTTGTTTTTGTTTGATGTGCATGTCCTCTATGAACTCCCTATGTCTTATTGTTGTTTTCTTGTTAAGTATTAGCAACATCTGGATTTAAGTCTTCAACTATATTTACTCACTTTTATGTAGTTTTAGACCTCGATGTTGTATCACAAGTCACTTACTACGAACTTAATTGATAATTGGCTTCTAACTTATAATGCATGTGTTGGTAATAAACAAATATCAAAATGATGACAACAAGAGTCAATATCATCCATGCTGGGATTTTTTAGCATTGATCAATTCTTGGCATTTTGGGCACTTCTGCTAATGTTCAAGATGTTGTTGGACTTAATTAGGATAGCTTTCTTGAGGTCGTAAACTAGTGGCTTGCTGAAACATCAAGATTCTACTTCCCATTGAAGTTATTCTTTCAACAGTTTTGCTTATATGTTCTCATCTGCAAGTTTTCCAGGCTCGCGTGGATTTTGATGACAAGAGTAGTTGGGAGTATCTCTTCAAGGTATACTGGGTCTACTTAAAAGGAAAGTTATCTCTAACTTTTAATGAGATTACTCAAGCTAATAATCCATGGGAAAGATCTAGTGCAATTGCTTCAATTGAACCAACTGGTTCACATATCAGTGCCAGTGGTCGGAGAAGCATTACATCAGACGCATCTTTTGGAAATCTTGAGGCTAATGAATCCAAAAGAAGAAAGACATATGAACAGACGAATGGACTTCCCAAAGAAAGCCGGTCTATGGTTGAAAGCAAAGAATGGGCAAGCAAAGAGCTACTGGATTTTGTTGCGCACATGAAGAATGGTGATACATCTGTGTTATCTCAGTTTGACGTCCAGGCACTTTTACTAGAGTACATAAAAAGAAATAATCTCCGGGATCCTCGAAAGAATACTCAAATCATATGTGATTTGAGGCTAAAGAATCTCTTTGGCAAATCCCGTGTTGGTAATATTGAAATGTTAAAGCTTCTGGAATCCCACTTCGCCATCAAAGAAGATTCGCAGAAGAATACGATCATCGGTACTGCAAAACAGAGTGTCGCTGATTGCAGCACTGATAATACGCTTGTGGTGGGTAACAAGGAACGCAGGAATCACTGGAAGGGTGAACAACGCACAACACAGATTAAATTGGATGAATATGCTGCAATTGATGTGCATAACATGAACTTGATATACCTGCGGCGTAATTTGATGGAGAGTCTTATTGAAGATAGTGAAAAGTTTCATGAAAAGGTAGTTGGTTCAATTGTGCAAATAAGAATATCTGGTAGCGATCAGAAGGATGATATGTACAGGCTTGTCCAAGTAGTAGGTAATGCAAATTTAGCACCCATGCAGGAACTGTTATGTGAGGTTTTGATTCTTTGTCTCCTAAAATTTACGATTGTGTTTTGCAGGTACGACTAAAGTGGATGTACCATATAAAATTGGCGATAAATCAGTGGATGTTATGCTTGAAGTATTGAATTTAGACAAGAAGGAGACTGTGTCAATTGATACAATTTCAAACCAAGAGTTATCTGAGGTAATTAATTAGATTTTCATAATAACTCCTACTCCGTTATTCGTATCCCTTTGAAAATACTCGTACTATATAAATGCAATGCATATACAAGGAATGAGGTTCCCCAGTCCCCTCTCCATGAAGAATATTAAAGCTGAAGGGGGTGATAGACAAGAGCTTTTAGGCCATAATCCCGTATTGCGAAAATGTAAAGGGTCCTAAATGATTTAGCATTTTGAATTTCTCTCCCCCCTAAATTCCTAAGTACCCTCATGGGGAGTCAATGAGGACACCTCAAATCATATACACACACACATATATATATATATATATATATATTACCATAGGGTCAGGTTCATGGAAAAACCCCAAAAAATGAAAAACTTAGGAACACCCTGGTAAAGGTTCATCTGGAAGGTATGTACATACAAGCAATTCGTCCGGTATGCACACGTGCATAAAAACCAAGAAACAACTTCAATTACTTGTATGCACATGTGCATATAGTTCAAATGAATGGTTACTAGGGTGTTCCTCAGTTTTTCATTTTTTTGGGTCTTTCCCTGAACCTCCCTTTGTTACCATATATGTATATATAGTTTTGGCTTCCTAGGAGGTCTAGTGTTCAAATCCCACCCTAGTCAATTAATTGATTGGTACCTCCTTCCGTAAATGCCTTGCCTTCGGCGTGCCCTCAAAGGTCCGATTCCAGGGGAGGACAGGTTGTCTTTTCCGGTGCTTGCTTATGAGGTATGGCAAGTAGGGCTCACAAAATGTGGACCACGGGGCCATGAGGTCCCCGCCAATAAACTTTTTTTTTTTTTGTATATATAGTTGAGCATTATCAAAAAATAACCTGTCGATTGGTAAGGTCTATAGAGTGAACAACTTATATCAGATCACATCCAGGATTTTATTTATTTCCTTTCAAGTTAGATTACAAGATCAAGCTATTGTAATGAACCCGCCAAGTGTTGCCAGACACATACCTCAGTATATTAACATCTAGCATATCTTATTTGTTTTCCATTCAAGGACATAACTGGCTAGATATTGATGTTGTGAATATTCATTTTACTTGATGAATTTGCATTATATGAGATTTCCTTTCCTTGCAAGTATATTCATTGTTCTAGGTCTCAGTTTGACAAATTTATCATCTTTCATCGACATTAAAAGTAAATTTTGAGACAGAAAGGTTGCTGATGGATCTTAAAAGTTTTGGCTACCAAAAACTTTACATCCTTTATGCTATTTACCATATATTTATCCCAGAAGCTACAGAGTGTTTCGAATTGGCTTTATATAGATCGGGAAAATGGTATTATGGAATCCTGTGCGACAAATAGTGTTTGCAGAATTCTTAACCCACCAATAAGCTCTGTTAACCTAGTGGCCCTTATGTGTTATGAATTGGGATGGGAGATCTCTTTCATAAGTACCATCTTCATATTAAATCCTTCAGATACTTGTATCCTAGATTGATTATGTGATAATTACTGGCTTTCTTGGGTTCTGCTCCTGCTGGTCGACATATAGTTATCAGCAGTGTTGATGTATTTTCTTATGAACTCCTTAAGTGGTAGACTGAGGGCCTGTTTGTTAGCAGCTTAACGAGCTTAATGAGACTCACAGCGTATTTAGTCAGCTATACAGGACTGCTTGGTAGTGGCTTATTCAGTAAGCTTCCAGGGGGAGCTTTATGCAGAAAGCCAAGTTTTTTCCAAACTTTCCCCTCCCAATTAAAAACACGATCCTTGCGTCTATGAAAATACCCTCCCAAACAAAACCTTCTCAAACTATATAGACAAAGTAATCCACACAGACAACCTTATCCATACAGGACTTAATGGAAAACCAACCAAACATCCCCTGATAGTTACATAACCCATGGTTCTTCATTTTCTTTACCTATAATTCTCTTTTACCAACAATCATATTGTTCATCAACTATGGTTCCAATGATAATTACTGGTCCTTTTATCTTTTTCAGGACGAATGCAGGCGCCTGCGAGAGAGTATAAGATGTGGGCTTGTGAGATACTTTACTGTAGTAAGTCTGCATGTTGATTTTTCTTGAATTTTCTAATGGGGTTTAACTCCACCCACTGTATTTGCTAATGCCAAGTTTTGTGCTTCTGCTAGGGTGAGATACAAGAAAAGGCAACAGCCCTCCAGTCACTGCTGCTTGATGATGTGAGTTATTTTGTTTCAAGATATTGTGCATGAAAATAAGATTTTATAATCGCGTATATATGGTAAAACTTACATGTTACCATGGTTCATTTTTGCCATTTTGCTTTTTAATGATTTTTGTAGTTCTCTTTGTTGCTTTAGTTGATTGGTTTCTTGTTCCTTCTATAATATAGAGGATGGAAACGGAGATGCTGCGGCTCAATCATCTTCGTGATCGAGCCAGTGGAAGAGGGCAGAAAAAGGGATATCCTTTGGTTTCAGTATATTTTTTTATTTAACTTTCTTTCATAGGGTTGATCACCTGATAATTTTGGGTTATTATGGAGAAGCAGAAACAACTTGGAGAAAAAATGACAAAAGTTAAGCGATCATTCAGGGGCACACTCCTATTAGTATGGATTAAACGGAAACCATCGGTTTTGCATGTATTGTATCCGGAATCAGGATCCTCGTAACAAAGTGCCCGATAATGTTTCCTTAACTAATTATCAGTTTGGATTCATTTGCTATCCGATAACCAGATTATCCAAAGATACTTAAATATCTGTATCTAATGAGGGGTTTAAATTTTAACCTCAATTTGTAATCTATAGGATCATAATCGTGCATGCTATTGATGTTACATACTTGTGCATCAATATTTAATACATATGAACTTTTGCTACTAAGTTCTGTGAGTTTTATACTTTTAGGTTCTGTTTTCTCGGAATTCCTTGACAAATTCTACTCTTAGAGAATGCGTGCAGAAACTCCAACTTCTGAAGACGCCAGAAGAGCGTGAACGAAGGTTACAGGAAATCCCCGAGGTCCATTCTGATCCAAAGATGAATCCGGACTATGAATCTGATGATACAGAGGAATATTTTAACAACGAACATGGTTTGTTCAATGCCCTTTTCACAATAGAGCATTTTTCTGTAGTTTCACATATTCGTTTAGTTCCTACTTTCGACTTTGTTAACCAATGGCGTCGTGAAACTCTCCAGGAGAACACGTGAAGCCAAAATATCCTTGGGTTAGTGGCATGAATACAATCCCTCCTCAGAAAGAAGCAGAGAGTTCAAATGATCAACCCAAGGAGATGGATATCACAGCTCACCCAAATGTTGAGGAGGATTCTAGCAAGGCTATGGAAAGATCAAACACATCAAACACGGGAAAAGATGTGTTTGGATCAAGTAACTCGGAGAGACCACAAAACGAGATTGATTGTAATGGTTCAACGATCTCAAAATGCAATCAGGAAGCTGCTGTAAGCTCATCATTATCCAACATTGCATCAGAACCAGCACCTTCATTTCTCTCCATGATGATGGATAATCCATCTGTTGATGAAGATGCATGGCATTACCGAGACCCAAGTGGAAACGTTCAAGGTCCGTTTTCTATGGTACAGCTGCAGAAATGGAGTATAGCTGGATACTTTCCAGCTGATATGAGGATATGGGCGAGCCGAGAGGCCGATTCGTTACTTCTGACCGATGCAATACAGGCGCAGTTTCACAACTATGATGGCCGGTGGCACGAGAATGTAGCTTCCAACAACAAAATTGGTAATCAAACTGAGGGTGCCAATGTTTGCAATGCAGTTCCTTCATCCACCATTCCTGCAACTCCATTTGCTCTTGATTCTGTCAATCTTGAGAAGTTACCCGATACTCGTGCTTCCTCAGGCCAATCTTCTGGACAGAACTGGAATGCTAGCAATTACAATTTGAACTGTAATCCCCCAACCACAAGTGTTGCTTCTTTGACCAAGCCAAATGAGTCAGTGAAACCGTTTGATGCTCGAGATATGCCTAGTTCTACTCCGAATGTTTCTTCAGTTTTTACTATCACAGATGCAGCTCTTGTGGATTTGCCCAGTCCCTTGCTGAAGAAGGCGAGCCATGTAAACGAGAAAGTTCAAGATGCTGGAGGCAAGGAACCGAAACTTTTAGTTCAAGAATCGGGGAACCCGCCTAGCTGGAGTACTGCTTTAAGTCTAGTAGTTGGTGGGGCCCAACTTCCCGAAACGGCTGATGAATGGGGTAGATATCCTCCTGCTGCAGTCAAACCCGAGGAATGGGACTCGGGCCGTGTATCCGGCTATTCTTCAAAACCTATAGAGGTACCGGGTCATCAAGTTGCAACTACAAACTCCACGATCGACCAAATAATGCATTCATCGCCTCCACCATCGTCACAGCCATATAACAATTTGCCATCATGGCATGGACTCGGTGAAACGATCGAATTCAGCACATTGGCAGAGGAATCTGTATCAGATCTCTTGGCTGAAGTTGATGCAATGGAGTCTCGAAATGGTGTGCCTTCACCTACTTCTAGAAGGAACAGCTTTCTCGAGGATTTATTTAATGGGTCGATTGATGATTTCAGCCCGACTGCTGATCAGGGTACGAGAAGTGATGGTTTTAGCTCCACTGCAGATTTACAGTTACATCGGCAATCCACTTCTACAACAGTTGAACATCTAGCGGGGGTCTCTCAAAGCAACAATAATGTCTTTGATATGGTGAAGAGGTCCACCGGCTTACACCAGTTCTCTTTCGGCCTTGAGACCAAACCCACTGGTGCGGTTACCATTCCTCAGACAACAAATTCGGAAAATATGGCTTTTAAGTGGGCTGAAATGGGGGGTTCCGAGCTCCAGCCTTCCCGTCTAGACATGATCGATCTAAATGATTCCACCAGGGCTGAAGCTGACGAGGGAACCAACGATTATCAAGTTGAAGAAAAGGTGAAAAACCATTCAGGATTCATGGGCCATGGCATTGGCAGGGCAGGCGGTAATACGGTACAACAACCAGAATCCCGTGGAGGAAGGAAGATGAAAGCTGGTGTATCAGGTGAAGATATAAAAACAGGAACAAAGCTCAGTGGTGGTTTCCCGGATAAAGAGGAGGAAGAAGGCGAGTTTATCCAGCCAGAGGCACCCCCACCCCCACCCCCACCACCATTGCTGCCACCGCCACCACCACCACCACTACCGCCACCTCCGCTAACAATGGGACTGGACGTGGTTGATTCACGTAGAGTGGGATCAGAAACAAGCAATCCAAAAATTTCAGGAAGAGCATCTCAAGGAACCACAAACACAGGCCGACACAGCAATGCTAGTCGGAGCGGGAATGCAGGGCGGGAGCGGGAGTCACAGCACCACCGGAGGTCTGGCGGGGATAGATACAACAGTAACAGTCCAAGAGAAAGGAGTCATCATGTGGAGGATACAGGTGGTGGATATAGTAGAAGCAGTAGAACTCCATGGAGTAGGCAATCTTCTTCTTCTTCGTCTTCATATTCTCGACCACCACCACCAGCAGCAGCAGCAGCATCAAAAGGGCAGCGTATTTGTAAATTTTACGAAAGCGGGCGTTGCAAGAAGGGATCGGCATGCAACTATCTGCACCCACAGGACAGGTAATTTGGGATTTGATGGTGTTTGAATCTGTTTTTGTATAATCAAAGTATGTAGTAAGTTAGTATGGTTATTATGTTGTGTAGATGAAGTCAGATATGGAGGTGTGACTTTGCCTTTGATTCAAATTTACTCAACAATTTGGTCTGGGAATGAATCCCATATTCTCTTTCTCATGCTTATCAATTCAGTTACTTCATAGTCCTTCATTAAATCGCTTACCCGGTAGGTGCTTACCGTCTAAGAGTCATTATCCTCACTTACCTTATCGCATAACATTTTTTGCCATTAAAATGGTTTGTTGGTAAGCATCTCTTACACGGGTAAGATTTTTGGTTCATGCCCTATAAGGTAAGTGACACCTGGTAAGCGTTTAACCTGGAAAAGTTTGCAGAACAACCCCTAAATCTTTTAATTGAGCATGGTTTAAATCAATAATCCCTGAATAACAGATGTTTTAAGTATAGAACTAATTTTATCTCAAACACGTATAGGCGGTTTAAAAATTCTAGTTATATGATTGCCGGATAATTGATTTAGTGATAAATTAAACTTGGTTGTGAGATATCACTCTGGAAAAAGCTAGAATTCTAACCTTGTGTCAGGAAGGACGGGCCAAGGGATAGTCTCAGGTAGACAGTTTCTATGGGACGCAAGCCTCTCAAAACGTAACAGAGATGTGCAAAGGTTGACGTATGAGATTGATTGATTCCATTTCTCCATTTTTATGAGACTAATCTTAACCATGTAATTTGAGATTGAATCATGTGAGACCAACTTGTTTTCATGAGATTTTCACTTGAAACTTCACAGTAAAACTCTGTGAAGAGGTAACCTTTACAGTGTTTTTGCTGTTGCTGTGAAGTTTCAAATGTAAAAAATTGGTCTCACGAAAATAGACTGGTTTCACGTGAATCCAATCCTACTAAAACTTTGATATTATTTTGAGATTAAGAAAACAAGTTGTGTATGTTAGATGGAATGTGAATCAAGAATACAAAAATAGTAGGAGATAAATGGGTTCAGTTGTGTTGGATGGATGAATTATACTAAAAGGTGCATGTATCTTATTGATGGTTGCAAATTTGACATTTTTATTTTCGTAACAGTAGCAAAAGGAAGAAAAACAAAAGCAAAATTCCGTTTATATGTTACAAAAAAAACCATTTATATGTCATTTTTTTTAGTTAAACCTTATTCTTTTAGAATAAATTTTCATTTTATTTTTTGATATGTTAAGTATAATGTATCCTCGTTTGAAATTATTTCTGAATCTACCTTTATATAGGGTATGAAAATTTTGAAATATTAATCAAGATAATTACATATATATGATATTATATTACAATATATAATGATCTGAATATGATGAAAAATACCATCTTTATCCCAATCTCCAGGCCCGTTTCTAACATTTTTTAGGCCCTGGGCGAACGTAAGAACAGGGCCCCCTGTAAGAAACAAAGTTTTTAGCAACGATTTTTGTCGTTGCTAAATGTCCATTTATCATCAGAAAGAGTACACCAACAACATGTCGACGCTATAACTTGTGGCGGAAACATGTTATCGCTAAAAGGCGCATCATCAAAACTCACTTTTCTTATAGCGTCGACATGTTATCGCTAAAAGGCGCATCATCAAAACTCACTTTTCTTGTAGTAACATTCGGTAAGTACGAAAATAAATTCAATAAATGTTTTTTATTAGTATAAAATTGAGTACAAGAAATGCTAATAATTTACTGARGAAAAAAATCTTATTTATCTTTATTATATATATATATATATATATATATATATAAGAGTACTTAAATTTACGTACTTCTTATTAGGTAATTTAAAACCAAGAGTATAAAAACTATGGTTGATAATTTTTTATAAAAAGTAAGAATTTTTTTAGTTCATAACAAGAAATATGTGTTATTTTGATATAAAAAGATAATTCGTGTGAATGAAGTAATCATTAGAGTCAATGAGAGATCAATAATAAAGAAGATTATCAAGAATTTTTTGACAAGTAAACAAATGAGGATCAATAAAAATACAAAAGAAAAAAATGATCTATTGAGATCCAGTAAGAATAAATAATGAAATTAACATATAATATACAAGCTCAACAAATGATTGTTTGAGCACTTAAATGGAATCTTATGATGTGGTGGAATCCCAATGAAAGATACATAAGTCAAACAATCGATGAAAACATTTAAATTATATTTTTCTTCTTTGTTTGCTCAACTAAAATAAGATATTAAGATTTTTTTTGATTAACCTGGATATCCAACCCGCTATGCGAGCCGACTAATCCCAGGACGACCACCTGCTTTGCAGATAGCCCGGAGTTACCGCATTTGAACCTTCGTAGCCACAAAGGGATTTTTATTTCTCCTTGGATTTGAACCTGAGACCTCCTGGTACTTTTGACTTTTGGAGCCAAACTCAAACCAATCAGGCACCACCCTTGTGGTTAAGATTAAAATTTTATGGAACATGACATATATAAGAGACATTACTAAATACATCTAGTACAAAAAATTTATTGATTAATCACAAAACCATGAAACAAGTCAAAATTATAAGAACAATAGATTGATTGTCAAATAATAGTAAAATATTTTATGTAGAAACAAAAATAGATAACAATAGTCAATAAAAGCAATTAGAACAAGATAATCAAATAGCAATAGTCAATAAAAACATAAATTGATAAAATATCCAAAAAATATATATAGCAATAGCAAACACATGATCTTAACTTTGAATTATTGAAGTACGAAAACAATCAAGTTTTTAGAGATAGCAATAGCGAATATCATTGGACCTTGTTGGAGATAAAAAAAGTAGAGAGGAAATAAACAATAGCATATAATGAATGACCAATTAAAATTTTTTTTCTTCAATGTAATTAGTTGATATATTTTTAAGCCCTTATTTTCTACTAAATTCTTTTTGTCTCTAATTATATGTTACAATTTTTAGATTTCTTTAATTTATTAAAATCTTTTAGACTACTATTGTAGTTTAAAGGAAAATTTTGGGCCCCTGATATTTTTGGGCCCTGGGCATGTGCCCGTGTCGTCCTCCCCCAGGGACGGCCCTGCCAATCTCCTACAAGTAAAGATGACTATTCTCGACTTTAGACTTAAAACTCGATCATGCAAGGAATCTGACCTTCTAGAATAAGTGTGATCCATAAAAAAATTTCAAACAATGACACCATTTGCTAAAGGTTAAAGAAATTAAAATTATCCATATAAACATGGTAAAACAAAATTTCCTGTTGTTCAATAAAAAATCATATATATACCCCAAAGTTTTAAAGGTAAAAATCTAATGAAATGATGACTCAAACTCGGCAGCTTCACCTACAAGAGATCTTATCTCAACAACGATGATCAACTTGGTACCATAAAATTTTAGTCAAAAACATAATTTTAATAAATATAGAGCGGCACAACCAAACATTACGATAACATCTTTTAGAACCGTAAATGTTTTATGGACAGTGGCCCATGGATTTTTAACACAAATAAGTGGAGCCATAGACACTAAAAATCGTCTCATCTCCATGAAACACAACATTGATGTTGTTTGAACAGGAGGAGACCGACGTAGTTATCGTTTATCTCCCATCATCAGTAAAACTAAGTTCTCTTTGTTGACCGGTTGGAGTTTAAAAAACGACAAAAACACTATTTTGGCATTATGATTGTAGTTGGAGGATAAAAACAGTGAGGGACTATTTATGTAATTAACTCATTTTTGTTCAAACGGTGTCTCTGCCGACGACTTCAAAATCAAACCGATCACTGCACCAATTTACCGACGCATGCAAAATCGATTCGACTTCAGCCGTCACAATGTCGTCAACGTTAACGCAGACGCAGAGATATGCCGCCGGAGCTTTATTTGGGTTGGCCCTAAACCAGGCCCAGATCCACCAAACCCTTCCCTTGGGTTCCTCCCACGATGACCCCACCGAAGACCGTCTTAGTAGTGCAAGCAGCACCGATTCCGTATCTGAAGATAATCAGCTCTGGGTTAACGAGTCATCGGGTCTGCTCCGCCCTATTTTCAGGTTTTGTTCTTCATCATCAATCCAATCAGACAGCATGTATATCTGTAGTTAGGTTAAAACCGATTCAAGATTGATGATTCTGTTTTACTTTGCCAGCTAAATGTGAAATTTTAATGTAACGATTGATGAACTAGTAATGTGTGATTCTATCATTGATCAAAATTTGCCCCAATTTAACACTACTTCCTTCTCATAACTAGAGTTCATCTTGCCAGAAATTTTGTTCATACACGAGTTCCGGATGGTATGCAAAGGGGGGTTTTTGTCATCTTGAAATCTTAGTTGATTTTTATAGTTATTTTTGCTATTTCCCCATGCCCTAATGGCTAATTCTTCCTCAAATCAATATACTGCTACTCCTATTGTACCCACTGCTAATTTTTCTTTGCAATGAAAGGGACACTGATTCTATTATATGTGCTTGTGATGGTGATTTCTTATGAATGACAACTTCTGTGGAGGACAGGTTTCTAGATATTGACAGTTCAGCCTGGTCTGGCCTAGAGGAAACTGCTGGTTCTCAAAGTCATCATGTCGGAGCGGTATGACCTTTTATACTTGTGTAAATACTTTATCAAAAATAACTTCCTTATCATCATTCATATTTTCATCCCTACAAGATATCTTGTCATTGTTATATCATTCATCCTATAACCTATGCTTTATGCTTCAATCGACTGATGCAGTTGTAAAAGAAAATATGGGGATTCGGGACATGATGTAATTGAGCCAGTTTTTGCCTGTGTGTTTTCAAAATCACTTAAGTTGGAAATGCATCTCATAGTTGTTATTTAGGGGATGGTGAGTTTTATGTTAGCTTAAAGAGTAAAACCACATGTCTCTTATGTATTTTAATGGTGTAAGTTGGCACTTCTCAAGCAGTATGCTATATAAGGCAACACTTTTTGAGATATGGTTCTATTTTGGAAAGGGATTTTCTTGCTTGACCGTCTTCAGGTGATACCATAAAAGTTTTCTAGTCTGAATGAGCTTTCAGGGCTTTGATCATGCTCTTGGTCTCACTCTGTCCTGGTTAAGTAATTAAGAATTCTGTAGTTGTATGCTTGACGTTCTTGTCAATACATGGCATTTAACTGTATTTGAAAGGTGCGTAACAACTTGTTTGCATTGGCATGGGGCGTTGACAATCAGTTATTTGTTTTTTGACCACCATTGTCGATATTATTACAGTTCCTAAGATTATTGGCTGAAGAAAGTGACGAGGTTTCTTCAGAAGTGTCAGATAAGGAACTTGCTTTGTCCAATGCAGTGAATGCCATGGTGGCAAGCATTGAAATAACTCCCGAGGATTATGAGTGGAAAAAAGAGAACTCACGTGCATATGAACATGAGTGGCAAGAAAAGTATGCGACTAATGAATCGAAGTCTGAAATGGAGAAGGAGATGAAAAAAGAGCAGGAGCAGAAAGATTGCAAAATGGAACACCTTAAAAATGAGCAAGAGAAAGATTGCAAAACAGAGCACCTTAAAAATGAGCAGGTGAAAGATTGCAAAACCGAGCACCTTATAATTGAGCAGGAGAAAGATTCTGAAACGGAGCACCCTAAAAACGAGCAGGAGAAAGATTCTGAAACGGAGCACCTTAAAAACGAGCAGGAGAAAGATTGCAAAAAGGAGCACCTTAAAAATGAGCAGGAGAAAGATTCGAAACCAGAGCACCTTAAAGATGAGCGGGAGAAAGATTCCAAAAAGGATGACCTTAAAAATGAGCAGGAGAAAGATTGCAAAACAGAGCACCTTAAAAATGAGCAGGAGAAGGATTGCCAAACTGAACACCTTAATGAGCAGGTGAAAGATTGCAAAACCGAGCACCTTAAAAATGAGCAGGAGAAAGATTGCAAAACAGAGCAACTTAAAAATGAGCATGAGAAAGATTGCAAAACAGAGCACCTTAAAAATGAGCAGGAGAAAGATTGTAAAACAGAGCACCTTAAAAACGAGCAGGAGAAAGGTTGCAAGTCGCCTGGCACCAAAGACGTGCCTATAGCATCCAACAGGGAAGTTGAAGGAAAATCGATTGAAGAGGTGAGGATTGGAAGGAAAGTGACAGTCTTATATGAGCTTCTTTCAGCTTGTCTGGCAGACATACCTGAAGATAACAGTAAATCTAAGCGACGAGGGAAAGGCTATGATGCTCGCCACCGTGCTGCTTTGCGGTTGCTGACAACATGGTTTGACATCAAATGGATCAAAATGGTTCGTCTTTCTTTTGAAGTATATAATATTTTTATATGGCTTGAACCCTTGACCTTTAGAGAGGTTGAGCTCTACAAATAACCCGGATACCGTTGGGCCAAAGACCGACCCTTCGGTGAAAGGTTTGTCACAATGGTTTGTCTTCCTGTGTGGTGAAAGTAGATATTTTTGTGACGCATGAGATTTTGCATGACATCACTTTTTCTTGTAAAAATCATGGGAATCCTCATTCTCATCAATCTTTCATGAAACTGTTGGTGGGGTGACCACTCTTTCTGGTCATCATGATGGCCACAGATACGATTTGTTGAAATTTTACTCTGATCTGTCATTTCTACATGATGTTATATTTTCAAGGTGAAAGGGCTTTCATTTTTAACCATGATGTAGATGGCGTGTTATAAGAATACGTGAATAGAGTTCTAAAGTAGACCCTTGACTATAAATTAGTGCTATATACAGGGTTTAATTACAAATGTACAACTCATATGCACAAACTGAATAGCATACAGAAGCTTTTTTACATCTTGAAAGGAGTATTTGCTACTTTTTGGTAATGAGTAATGAATTGAACTATTAATCTATTATGGGAGTAACGTTGGCGCTTCAACCATATTTGCTTACTTCCTCTGATACATTTTTACCTCCTCATGGACTTGGGAAATTTCCATATCCGTGAAAGCTTAATCATACAACTCTAATCAGAAAATCATCTTTTTGACTTCAGTTTCACATCCCTTATTATGTTCCAAAAAGAGCAATTTTGTATTTGCAGGAAGCTGTTGAGATTATTGTTGCTTGCTCTGCAATGGCTGTATTGAAACAAGAAGAGGCGAAAGAAGAGGAGCAAGCACCAAAAAGCTTATGGAGCAAGTGGAAACGTGGAGGTATCATTGGAGCGGCTGCTTTAACTGGTGGAACATTGATGGCAATTACTGGTGGTAAATTATCCCAATTTTTCTATTTTTTGTACATTTAAGGTCATCTGTATAATGGTACATGGCATTTTACTATTTCTTTTGACATCTTCAACAGGTTTAGCTGCTCCAGCAATTGCTGCAGGATTTAGTGCTTTAGCGCCTACATTGGGTACAATTATACCAGTGATTGGAGCTGGTGGGTTTGCTGCTGTTGCAACCGCCGCGGGAAGTGTTGCTGGTTCTGTTGCAGTGGCTGCCTCATTTGGAGGTAAATAAAGAATCATGTTTTCTTAGTTTATTTTCTTGAACAAATATGCGAATTATTGCATGTCAGTGCACACAAAAAGCTCATTGGTGATGCAGAGGATAATCATTATAAAATTTAAGCATATTTGAGTTCTTGAGTTTCTTCTGAAAAACTTCTTTAGGTAGATATACAGACCATTTCATGTGGTTACATGTCTTTAACAAGTTAGATCAAATGGGTGCTTGCATCACACCTGCTAGTGCCTTTATTTATATTAGTCAAGTGCTCAACACAGCATCTCATAATTCAAGACATGATCTGCCATTCATTCTTCTATAAGAATTCATGACCTTCAGGCCAGTACCAGTTCTAATTGCTAACACTTAGATCAATCCAGCTGCTGGAGCTGGACTTAGCGGGACGAAAATGGCTAGAAGAACAGGAGGCATCGAGGAATTTGAGTTTAAAGCCATAGGGGAAAACCATAACCAAGGCGTGAGTTATTTTTAGCTTTTTGTTCCCTATTATGTGAGGACATCTTCTCATAAACCTTCTGTTACCAGAGGTTGGCAGTTGAGATATTGGTCTCAGGATTTGTCTTTGAGGAGGGAGATTTTCTGAGGCCTTGGGAAGGGCATAGCGATAACATGGAAAGGTATATTCGACTTCTGCTCTTGTTCTTTCTGCTGGTCTCTCAATCTTTTAGTTATTGAGGTCTTGGGCAGAGCCTTTTGGTTTTTCTTTTTGTTGGTCTCATCTTTCTTACTTCTACTTTGGAACACTTACTGTGATTAGCTACATGAATAAAGAAATTTTAATGAAAGCACATGTAGTTGTTTCATAAGTTCTTCTGTTGTGCTTGCCTTATGCTGTTTGTATCTTCCTGGCAAGGCATTTCTTAATTGATTAAATTGGTTTGCCATGTCTATTCTATTGTATAAAGAAAAATATCTTTCCCTTTGAAATAATGATGTTGTAATGCCTACATATTTGCTTATTGAGATTGCTATCTCTTACTCTTAGTTATTGTGTATGTGTTGAATGAATGTGAGCTCTTTTTCTAACTTCTATTTTTCTAAGAGGAAAGAGTCTAGTTCTTCTTTTACCAATTTGTGTGCTTTCATGTGGGTGTTATACATGCTCCATGGTCCTATTGGTTATGGCTTCTTAAAGTTATGTTTCTCCATATTCTTATAGCACCAATTTTTCAGGTATGCGCTAAAATGGGAATCTAAGCATCTGATTGCCGTAAGCACCGCAATTCAGGATTGGCTTTCATCAAGTAATTAATTAATATTTAAAAATAATTTATGTACTAAGGTAACTATGATATACTCACTTTTATAAGACATGATTCAGGTCTTGCAATGGAATTGATGAGACAAGGTGCGATGATGACTGTATTAAGCTCCCTTTTAACAGCTTTAGCCTGGCCTGCAACTTTACTTGCCTTAACCAGTTTTATTGACAGCAAATGGACAATTGCTGTGAACAGGTTTTTCATTTTATGATTTTGCTCTCTCTGCTATCAAAATTTACGATTTGTCTTTGACTGTATAGTTCTTGGCCCAGATTGGTCCTAACAATGGTCAAACAAAACATTTTCATGATTAAAATCTGATCTTTTAGAAGTTTACATGAACGGATTGATGATCAGCAAACTAGACATACCAGTCTTAGTTATTAATAATGGTTCCATGATCTTGAAATTGTAAATATTGTTGTTTTTTTGTGATTTTTCAAATCAGAAAAATAGTCAGTTTGACACTTCAACTGCAAATATCAAACCGACTTTAGTTTTATAAAGGGAGTAGCATTCCATTAATTCCACATAAATCTCCAAATTAAACTTTCAGTTTCCCCTCAGATCTGACAAGGCTGGAAAGCTGCTTGCTGAAGTCTTTATCAAGGGGTTGCAAGGCAACAGGTACAACGAAATTCAGGTTGCTCAATCTAGGAAACCATTAAAAAGGTCTTATGGGTGCGTTTGGTGGTTCGTGGGATAAGACGGGACAGGACAACACAAAAACTTGTCTGATGATTGACGCAATATCAGATTGCGAGAGGACAGGACCTGATTGCATTTTTGTCCTGCCAAATAGGTGGAACAAAAATCTATGAGATGAGACAAGATTGACAAATTACTAAACCACCCATGTCAAATTAAAACCCTAAAACCTTCCACAATTCTTTCAAACCGCCTACCTCACTTTTGCTGGTCTAGTCCCGTCTGCATACCCAGCACACCCTATAAGTGTGGTCTATTTCTAGCTTACCCTGCTAGTTTAGGGGTAAAAAGGTGGTTTTTTTTCATAGAAGCACGTCAATCGAATTCTTCAATTTTGTGATTACCGGTATAAATTTCAGGCCTGTAACACTAGTAGGTTTCTCACTTGGAGCACGTGCGATCTTCAAATGTCTACAACATCTGGCTGAAAATGGATATGGTAATTGGTCAGTTTTGAGGAATCAGCTTTGTTGTAGTAGTTTGATAGCTCGAAATATATTAATGCACATCTTTAATTAAATTTGCAGATGGAATTGTAGAAAGAGTTGTTCTACTTGGGGCACCTGTTGCTATAAATGGTGAAAATTGGGGAGCTGTTAGGAAGGTATCAATGTGGATTTAGGATGTTAGTCATAAATACTTTTTATTTCTCCTAACTCTTGTTATGTACCAGAATTTACTCCAGACTTACCCTATCATAACTATGTTATTTGGTGTCCATTTCTTTAAATGGCTCTCTAATATAAAAATCCCAAATTTTGTAGGTAGTTTCTGGCAGATTGATAAATGCTTACTCCACAAACGATTGGATGCTGGGAGTAGCCTTTCGTGCCAGGTATGTCTATGATGGAAACTCCGTGCATCTAGTTTAGAGCATGTTGTATTTTGCTGTTGGTATTCTTGCAGTTTCAGCACATCGGATGATTATGCAAATTCTTAGCTTCAACATGTATATACGCTCATTCAGTTATGAGTGTATATGAAGAAATATTGACTCATTTGGTGTACAAATACCAAAAAAAACAGAGTTCATTAACTTCTAAACCATTTTACTTGAATCTTAAATCAATATTAGAGCCCCCTCCATTGGGCAATTGACATAATAACAGAATATAAACAGTAATTTCTAGTTGTTAAATTCTGAAATAAACTTAAAGGACTCATCTTGGTAATGTTTGATGAGTCTTAGTCATGTTTTTTATGATTAAATGAACATATACTTCCTACTCATCCTTTTTGCTCGCATTTTGCAAAGACTTTGTTACTTGATCAGAATTATGTAGAAGTAACATTACCATTTGCTGTATATATAACCATTAATATTTTTTTTTCCACTTATGGGTTAAATAATTTGGAGGCCCAGAAGTGCTCTCACATTTTCATAAAATAAGGGTGTTCTCGTTTAAACCCATGTCAAGAAACAACTTTAATTACCAATATGGACATGTGCATACCGTCTAGATGAATGGTTATCAGGATGTTTCTCAGTTTTTCATTTTTTGAGGTTTTCCCCTAAACCTCTGAGTTGTGTTAAGATTTTGTTATATATTTGAACAGTCTCCTTAGTCAAGGATTAGCTGGGATTCAAGCTGTGGATGTTCCTGGAATTGAGAATGTAAGTTTATTCTTAAGAATCTATTATTTGTTGATGGTAAAGCAAATTGGCTTATATTTGTGTGGATTGATCACAGGTTGATGTTACAGAACTTATAGATGGCCACTCATCCTACCTATGGTCAACACAGGAGATACTCGATCGTCTTGAACTAGAAGCCTATTTTCCTGTTTTCACCATTAATCGCACCAAGAATTCCGCTTCTGCTTCTGCTTCTGCTTCTGCTTCACAAAACCATGTTGGTTAAAAATTTCCAAACGTACAGGATCAATCTTTCCTTTGTTTGTGTACAGCAATCATAAGTGAACGTTATTATAGATCTCTTAAATGTGAAATATATACATCGCTTCATTCTTGTATTGCAAAGAGAATTTTATAGAAAAAGAAAACAACTTATCTGGGTTTCTTTACAGAAAAAACCATTTTACTCTTATGAGATGAGTAAATGATGGGGCTTGCAATTGCATACATACATCCTCCTTGTGTTAGAAAACCAAAAAAAAAAAAAAAAACCTAAAAGGAATTTAGTGTTTGAAATAATTAAGATCTTGGATAATGTTTTGGAACAAATAAGTCCTTGGACATTTCAAAACTTGTTAAATAACTTATTGGATTTTCTAAAACCTATTAGAGACATGCTTATGACCTATATAACTTGTTAATGTGGTAATAATGGAGAAGGTCGGAAAAAAACCAAAGAGACTTTTAGATTTTGAACGATTAAGTTTTTAAATATTTTTTGAACCAAAAAAATATTTACGTATATAAAATAAAACAAATATACCAAAAAGTACTTACATTTAAAAAAAATTATTGATGAAATTTATTTTAATTAAAAATAAAATATATTTCGTCAATGATTTTTTAAATTAAAAAAATAATAAATAATGATTTAAAAAAGAGTACCGATTAAATTTATTTTAATTAAAAAAAATATTTCGTATGTGATTTTTCAAAATTATAAAAAATAAAAAAATATTTAAACAAGATTACTGATGAAATTTATTTTAATTAAAAATAAAATATACTCCGTTGGGTAATTTTTTAAATTAAAAAAGTAAAAAATAATTTGATTAAATTACTGGCGGATTAATGGTAAAATTTAACTAAATACATAATTAATTAAAATTCGTCGCTAATCCGTCAGTGAAATGATATCACCGACAAGATTCAAACACGATTTTTTACATTTATTAACATGTTACTGTGTTAAAGCGTTTGAGGTGGTCAAGTTAACCATCAATTAGATATAATTAATCCATGCATATTACCAATGAACCCTAGCAACGAATTTTAATTAATTGTGTATTTATCATTAATCTATCAGTAATTTAATCAAATTATTTTTTATTTTTTTAATTTGGAAAATTACCAATTAAATATATTTTATTTTTAATTAAAATAAATTTCATCAGTGGTCTTTTTATATCTTTTTTAATTTGAAAAATTATATACGAAATATATTTTATGTTTAATTAAATAAAATAATCATTAATCTTTTTTTTTATAAAATAAATTTAATTAGTAATCTTTTTTTATTTTTTTAGATTTGAAAAATCACTGATGCAATATTTTTTATTTTTTATTAAAATAAATTTCATCAATAATATTTTTTAAATGTAATTACTTTTTTGGTATATTTGTTTCATTTTATAGATGCAAGTACCTTTTCGGTTCAAAAAAGTTTAGGGACTTAATCGTTCAAAATATGAAAGTCCATTGTTTTTTTTTTCAAAATTTTTCCATTATTTTACCACATTAACCAGTTTTATAGGTTATAAAGATGTATTTAACAGGTTTTAAAAAGTCCGAAAAGTTGTTTAACGAGTTTTAAAATGTTCAAAGACTTATTTGTTTCAAAATTTTGTCCAAAAATTTAATCCCAAACACTAAGTCCTTAGATTTTTTTTAAATACTTTTTCTAGTATAATAAGTTGATTGTGAGATGGGATTTGCTTAAAATAAATAATTCTTTAAACTCCGAATGACAAAACAAACATTTTCATATGCCCTTTTGAGTACGGACCACGACGAGCACTTGAAGAAGCCTACGCTTAGTGAGTTTCAGGCCTAGCTCTATCAAGTTGAATTTTTTGGGTGTCGGCATGATCCGAAAACATCTGGCCTAAAAAGATCTGAGAATATCTGGTGAAACAAAAACACCCAGCCTAAAAGAGCCTGATCATACCCTTATTTAACCTCAAAGCAGGCTGTCTAATTTTTTGCAAAATAGGAGATAAACAAAAATACCAATTGAAAATTTTTGATTCATCTATCATTATAGACAACACTAACAAGGATAAAGTCACAACTGTATAAAAAGAAATTGATTCATCATCTGTAACATCTACCCATACTGCGTTTCCAATCAGCGAATTCATTTTTGGGTCATTTTTCAACTCAACTTATAACGGAATAATAAGAACTGGGTCGTGTAATTTCGTTTTAAAATGAAACTCTTTTCGAATCATTATGGAATCAAATTAGAATTCCTATTTTGATCATTTTTTTAATTGTATCAAATCTATTTTATATTTTAGAGTGAACAATAATATTATAAAACTTTTACTTTCATTTTAACTAATTAGATTCCGTAACATGTTCACTCAAAAAATTGATCTTATTGAGAAATCGATGTCTTACTCCATAACTTTGAGGGAAGAAGAGAACAAAAGCCTGACAAGAGTTAGGTCAGATTTAGGTGCCAAACATAACCCATCATTCTGTCATGTATCCTCGATGAAATTTCATTCTACAGAATAACCCTAACCTAAAAATGAACTAAATTCGAAATAAAGCAAAATTTACTGAAGTATTATTCTATTAAAGAATAATGAGATGAGTTGGATACATATCCAGATTTTTATATTCTATATATAGAAAAAGAAAAGAATTTTTTTTGTAACATAGTTGTAAATTCCTATAACATAATAAATCAATGACTTTTGTCATAAGAGGAAGACATTTTTTTTTCAATATTCTTTGATTTCTAAACCAAGGAGGAATAAGAATCCCTTTGTGACCACGGATGTTCAAATACTGTGACTCCGGGCTATCTGCAAAGCAGATGGTCGTCCTGGAATTAGTCGACTCACATAGTGAGTTGGATATCCAGGTTAATAAAAAAAAAGATGCATTATTAATCATGTAAAACATCGAATAAAATAAATAAAGTAAAGCCGACTATCGAAATCGAACTGTTGACCATCGCATTACAAATGCAATGCTTTGAATTAGTCGAGATTCATACAATCTGACACCATCATCCACCGTTAAAAAAACATATGTTTAAACTCATATAACCATTTGTGGTAGAGCGACATCGTATTGTAGTTTCCAATTAAACAAAAGTGTGGGGGTTAATACCATTTTTGATTGCTATGTTAGAATTTGGTTCAGCAACAACTTCTTCATCGGCATCGTATCATCATCGTCATCCGTACTGCTCGCGTCGAAAGTAATCTGAAGCAAAAGCAGCGGCGGGGGATATCTTGTATTGATCAGAGAAGATTAGGGGGTGAAAGAGATGGGAGAAGGGGGTGAAGATGTGAAGGGACCAAACGAAGGAAACCCTAACTCCAAAGATCATGATAATCTGCAGTTGTTGAACGAAAAAGTCTCTTCCAGAAAAGGCAAATCATGCAAAGGATGTTTGTACTATTCATCAACTCTCAAATCCAATTCTCGCAACCCTGTTTGCGTCGGCATCACCCGTTCCCTTCCTAAAGGTACTCCACTTCTCCCTCTCCTTCTCATAGAATATTTTTTGGATGCTTTAATTTCGGATTCTTGATCTGGGAATCATGTTAGATTTTGATTCTTGATTATTTGATTTTGGGTTGATATTATGGAATTCACTTTGTAAATTAATCCAGACAAAGTCGTTAATGCTTATAATTATGTCAAACTGGGATTGGGTTTGCGATCATCACGTCAAACAGATTATATTATCAATTTTCGAATGATATTGATTTCAAGAATTTTGAGGAAAGAATTGCTGAACAGATTTTTCTTTATAATAAGTGCTATAAGTAGAATTAATGTCGGTTCATTCGAAAGAGATTCCATGTCAATTTTGCATTCCACGACCTAAAGGTTTGAGATAAAAGAATCAAAAGTATTGCAAGTAAGGATCAATATGGAAGAGAAAATTTACACATCCTTATACACCTTGACGTTGTGTCATTGGGCTGCTGGGAATTGTAAAGCTTTTAAGCTCTTTTAGATATGGAGTAATATGAATATGTTGAATTGGTTAGGTTTCTGTTTTGCTGAAGGTCTTCCCTTTTGAGTTATCTTTATTTGCAGCTTGGCATGATTGTATCTATATTCTTTTGCCTTAGTGAACACATTCATTTCAATTTTGATACTATATTTTTTATACAAGTCTGCAATTACTTTCTGTATGATAAATTTCGTTAGTTCTATTTTTAGGATTGTGAAGCATGGAGTCTATCAGATTAACCCCCCAAAAAAAAAAAAATATACATGATAAGCAATTTAGAAGAACAAAAATTTCAATTCTCAGATCACCATTTTCTGTTTCTGTTTTTATAATGGATTAGGGTAATAATTGTGAAACGGTTAATTTGCATTTAGGCATATAACTATGTCAGTTTGTTTTCAACTGATTTCGAGCAGTTGGGCAACAAAAAGTAGAAGGTGATTAACTGGCTTATTTGAATCGGGATGAATTAGTTTATTAACGGGCTTAACAAATACCGGCCACTTGATTTATTAGTCTGATTAATGGGCCTAGCTACTTAACTCTGTGAAATGCTTATCCAGGAATTAGTCTCTAGTTGAAGCTAGGATGACATATCACTTAGACAGCTGATTAAGCATCACTATGTGAGGATTTTTAACACTGAAAAAAATGAAAAATTGGTGTGAGCAAGTCTGCTTGGATGGGGCTAGATTGGAACTGCTAGAGTTGTAAAAGGTAGGAAAAGAGTCAAAGAGGATGAAGGAGGAAATGCCCTCCAGTCGTGTGGTGTGGGTCTGAGACCACTGTCCAGAGGCTGGCAGTTTATAGATTAAGCAGTCACTTAAACTCTTTATATCAGCGGAGTGTTCTATATGCAAATTTTAACTTATGGTCGTATCGTACTACAAATAGCACACTCTGCATTGGGTGTTCTGTATGATGCCAACATATAGCACCAAGTTATAGCTTTAATGGTTGGATCGTTTAAGGTTTCTTGTTGCTGTACCTTTTACTCCCATCCCACAAAAGAGAGCTACATTGTGATTCGATATACCTAGTACTTTTACAATTCAGATTGTTAGAATTTTGTTGAGAAATTAGTGGCTACAATTTTTATTTTGCAGTATTTGTAAATTATATGGTTTAAAGTAGTTACTAAAAATAAAATTTACTCAAAAGGATTTGTCCTGTCAGGATTTTTGAAGTTTAAAAGTAGCCAATTTACATCCAAAGTCGAAATCTAGCTGTTACATTTGAGAAGGGGGCATATGTTTCCTCTTATATATTTAACCAAATGGGAGCCTGCAACGATCTGGCACTAACATTAAACTTTTCATTTCATGTTTATAATCTCAGAAATAACTGCTGGTATCATCATCTTCAAGTTCTACTTTTACAAAATTAGACAAACTAAGTTAACGGAAACACAATGAATTATATGCTTTTGTGGCTTTCTGCAATTAACACTTGATTTGCATGGAATAACATATGTGGTGAATTAAATTCAGTTTGGTCATTTTAATCCCTTGAATATAGATGTGGTGATTGGGGGATGCTTGTAGAAGTTTAAGAAATCAATGCAAAATAATCTATCTTGACAGGTTTTATGGGCGTAAACTTCCAAGAAATTATTTCAAAAAGTTGAGTTTAAACCATCCTTTGATCTTTATATTTTGTAGACAACTTAGTTCCATGGCATCGCCATTACGTCTTTATAAACGGTGTTTGTTGAACTTTGCTTTGTTTAAATTGTAACTGTTTTACATTTGATGGCTAAATCATGATCTTGGGGTGTAATGGTGGTATCTGTAGCCTTTTGTCATTATTATTCTATGTGCTTTTAAAGTAAATTAATCAAACGGACACCATGGACTGGTCTGGAAACAGTATATGCAAACTTCATCAAGAAGAAAACAAAGGATTTCTAACCACTCTTGCTTATAAGGAAATCTTGTATCAGTCGTACTCTATTGGATACAATGTCAGTAAGTCGTGGAAAATGAATGAGACTGAACTTATACTCATAGGTTAAATTGTCATAGAATGTAGAAATATTTAATTAGCTTTTTCTATATTTCTTCTTTTACTAGTATTTTCTCTACTAAGTGCTGGATTTACCTTGAGGGTAGTTTTGCTTGTTAAATTACAAAATATTTGGGATCCTAAATTTGAACTTTTATGACTAGCACCTCGCTACTACGTTGGAGAATCTGAGATGGAAGCTTCAAAAGAGGGTAGGAGCCTTGCTGATTTCAGATATGGTTGTGTTGGTTACTCCGTTTATTCAGATATGAAAAATCACAGTGGGGATGCACAAGAAACACAAAAGGAGTTGCCAGCCTGTGTTGGTATCGAGGTCCTCTCTCTCCCCATCATATATGTGTGTGTGTATATATATATATTGTTTATGTGGATGGATGTTCTTGGTGCCTGAGTGGTTGCATTTACTTTTCATTCTGATATGTGTATGTTTGTTTAATGTGCTGCTATTTTCTTTCTGTGTTTGCAGGTTCTGGTGGATAGAAAAGTTAACAACGCTAACTCTACTCCTCATCATGTGCATAACAAAGGTAAAGCGTTTGACTAGAATCATGATCTTAAGTTTGTTGAGAGTTCCTATTACCAATTGTTACGGGTTAATTGGACTTGGCCTCCTATTAGATGGCACATTTTTGTGACCATTGGTTGGCATTTGAGAGAACTCTAAAAAAAAATTGTTCATTTGATATACCCTTTTCTGTCCTCTATATAATCGTCATCCTTATATATAGTTTTGCATTATTAAGGACGATTCTTTTTCTATTTACAACAATTTAGCACTTGTACATTATGGTCTAGTTATTGTCTTTTCCTCAAAAGGGTAAATATTTTTCATATTGATTTTTACATCAAAACTGGTTCATTTGAATTTCTAAGTCAAATTATGGCGTTCTTGATTTTCTATTGGTGGCTGGATTATAAAAGCTTACACATCGATGTTTTTGAAGATAACCATGCAATTCCACAACCACGAGTAAACAGGCCAGCTCAATCTGCAGCGGATGATTTCTTTAGCAGGCAAGTAGTTTTTTGTGTCTATGCTTTCTCTCTATTTGTTCAAAGTTTAACATTTTAAGATCTATGTATATAGTTTTGTGATTTGTTTAGTGGGCAAGTAGTTAGGGGCGAGCCTGTTAGGAGCTGAGCGGGCACCCATGCACCCGCTCACTTGATTGTTGCTAGAGAAAAAAATGTAGTTGTCTGAAAGGTGCACCCACTTGATTTTGACGGGTGACCGTAAAAACTAAAATTAAATAGGGGGAATGGTTGGATTACCACATCATATATAAGAGGTCACTGGTGAATCTTTCACTGGTAAATTTAGTTTTACTTTTTGTTAATTTTTTTCCCATTTTTATTTTTATTTTTCAATGCCAATTCATCTTAAAAATTATTGCTTTTTATCTCATTTTTCGAGGCAACATATATATATTTGAAGGATAAAGGTTGATTCCATTTTAAAAAATGTATTTTTATTCTTTAAATCCGCCCAATTGACTTTTCCCTAGGTCAAACTCCAATGACTCTCTTCCCCAGGTCAAACCTTAAAGGTGCACCCACAAAAGAAAAGAAATCCTAGGTCCGCCACTGCAAGTAGTTGCTTGTGTTTGTAGTAATTGGAACAGCTGTGCTTATATATAGTTTCCTTTTTTGTGATTTAAAACAGATTTACGAGAAATGCAAATGTAGTTGCATCAGGGGTAGCGAAGAACGTGCGTAAAGTTGGGAATCAAATAAAGGAAAGCGTGGATGACATTTTGTATCCTTATCGAAGACGACCAAAGTAACAAGGAAATAACGATTGTAGGAATGGACATTCTTTATCCATACCAAAGACCCACACTTTACTACTACTGATGATCAAGAGCAGTAAAGAAAAGAAGATGAATCATCAAGTCTCTGTCTCTAGTTTTAAGGATGCAAAACATTTTCATTTTGTTCTCATAATGTCTTGAAACTAAAACAGATGGTTATGCATCCTAATATTATTTTTGTACACCGACTGATAATTGCAGATATTAATGAGTTTCATGGGTTACTTATAATTACTGTTTCTTTGTTTCTTTCATATACAAATAATTGTCACTACTTTCTGTTTCTTTGTTTCGTTCATTACTGATTACTGACACAAACTGGGCAAACATTTACCTGGTAAGAGTCCTTTTCTCACTTACTTTATTGGATAAGATTTTCGGTCATCAATATAGCGTTGTATAGCTTATCAAAATGGCGGGTAGGTAAGTTTCTTACTTGGTAAGGGACAATATAGCTTATCAAATAAGTTCCAAGTCCTGTTAAGCGGTTTCCAAACAATCCCCAAGTTACAAGTCTTATTAAGTGTTTCCAAACAATTGCTAAGTTACAAGTCTTATCAAGTGTTTAATCCCTAAGTTATGTCTTATTAAGTTGTTCTCAAACAATCTCTAAGTTATAAGTCTTGTTACAATATAGCTTATCGAATAAGTTACAAGTCTTGTTAAGTTGTTTCCATGTAATCTCTAAGTTATAAGTCTTATTAAGCGTTTAATTCTAAAAGTCGATAAAAATCCACTGACTATATTATTTATCGTCAAAAAAAAAAAAAATTCTACTGAAAGCATTTTCATGTAAGTTTGACGATTACAAAATTCTTTTGTGTAACCAAAGTTTTGGATCACTTGGAGGTTTATTCGACATGAAGCTTATTCATTTCTTGTCTTTTTAGCATGCTTTCCAATGTCGGATTTGACATGCAGAAGTTGTGAATTATTAAATAATTTAGGATTAATAAATTCAGAATTTACAACACTAAAATAAACTTGTTAGTTCTAAAAGACACTTTGTTAAATGATGAAAACAACGGAATATAAGCAACTATGCACCAACATTTTGGGTTAATAACATGTTTTGGTACCATTGCTTCCTAAATTGTTTTTATTTTTATTTTTTAAAGTATATATAATATATATATATATATATATATATAATATGGGGCAAATGCAACAAATAAACGGACACACCCTCCTCACATTTGGTAAGGTTTGAACTCCTGGCCTCCTAGAAGGCCAAGAACTATGATACCACTAGGGTAAATTGTTGTTTTCAGCATTTAGTCTTTTTTAATTGTGCAATTCTTAGAAGATTCATGAAAAGAAAAACTACGAAGCAATGAAAGATAAAAGAGGACCACAAACCCATGCTTAAGGAACTCTTAATGCATCTCTATAATCTATATCTTATAGTCGATCTTCAAGAGCAAACGTAGTGTTTTTTGAGGTATCAAATTCGGGCTGTAAGTGGTAACAAAAAAGACTGTTGGTTTTTCTGAACTGAACATAAAGTAATTGTGGGAGACAAGATAGAGGACGATTTTGGTTTTGTGCCATATGTTTTTCCAAACGGGGCTACCAATTATGTGTCTAATTAATCCGCACATGGAATAATCTTATTATGAAACAAGTAATTTAGTTACTACACGTCGTAGTCAGGGCAGTTAACACGTTAACAACATACCAAACAACTCTAAATGGATATTTTTAGCAAGAGAAAATGCAAATCGAGAAAAACAAAACAAGAAACACTTCTTTCCCGAGTCTATATATACTTGTATATATGAATGTCAAACGATGAATCACTTATACGTAAATTATGGTTACCCAGACATGACAACAAACTCACGTCGCTAAACTGTCCAAGTAGTCTCCCAGATGCCGTCATCAAGTAACAACAATGGTATAACAGGTAAGCGAAGAAAATGAAATATTCTAAGGGGATGTTTACCTTATACTTACCCTGTAAGCGCTTAACGATAAAATTCAACTTTATCGCTTACTTATCGTGTAAGATTTTAGTCTACCGAAACGACATCATATGTAACAATTTACTTAGTAAGTGCTAACCATGGTAAGAGTCATCACCATCACTTATCGAGTAATACTCTCGATCCTTGCCTTCGCTCTTACCATATAAGATTATTGGTTTTTGTCATGTTCACCCGATAAGGTAATGTAACTTGATAAGCGTTTATCCGAGTAAGCATTTGATAAACAGCCCCTAAATAACATTACTTGAAAGGGAATTTGATTTAATAATACATACAAAATAAAAATTATTGGAATTTCTATTTTACCAAATTACCCTTTACCGATTTTATATACTATATCTAAGACGGTTGTTAGAATGGAAACAAGAAGCCCGTCTAGCTCAGTTGGTAGAGCGCAAGGCTCTTAACCTTGTGGTCGTGGGTTCGAGCCCCACGGTGGGCGCTTCTTTTTCCTTTTTCTTTTTTTTTACGTTTCGTGAAAGCTTCTAACGAAAAACGTGTATGGAATCGGGCTTCAATCAACCGACGACGGGTTAAGAAAAAACCTTCAAAATGAACCCTTAATCCACTCCTCCACGATTCCCGATGACAAACGATAAAAGCCCACAAACCTAATCTTCTTCTTCTTCTTCTTGTTCAATTCAGATTGGAAATCCATTTCATTTCATTTCTTTTCTTTTCGATCAAGATTCTTTTGTTTTTGGATTTTGTTTGATTCGTTATTTAGGGATCTTTTCCGATCGAGGGTCTTCAATCGCTTGTTTGTTTGTAAGAAGTTATCAGTTCCGTTTCGGATTCTATATTAATGGCCGCTTATGCGGCCTGTATCCGGGCCGGAACGAAACTAAGATCCGTCCAGGCCATTGATTCATCGGTTTTTAGAGGCGTCTTCTTCCCCACAAGCCACCTTTCATCTTCATGGTCGTTATCTTCGTCTCATTTTTATCCGAGTAGTAGCAGATTTGATTGCCGACAGATTTCTCAACTTGTTCAATCCAACGGCAAGCGCCTATTTCTTGTTGATACCCTAGCGCTTGTAAGCCTATTTTCCCTTTTCGATTGATGGAATGAATAAAGTTAACGTAGTATTTGTTTTGGTATATAATTTTTGTTTTGGTGTATGTGAAATGTGTTAATGCTTTGACGTGCATTTTTAGGTTAGAAGATTAGAAGGACAAGGTGTACCTTCGAAGCAAGCGGAAGCCATTACATCTGCAATCACTGAGGTTTTGAATGATAGTTTGGAAAATGTGGCTCAATCTTTTGTTTCCAAGGGTGAAATGCAAAGGGTTTGTTTGTTTCTTTTTCTATGAATTAATTGGATTGATTGAGTTATGTTGTGTTTTTGGTGATTAAACTCAAATTGTTGTGGATCTGTGTTATTCTTTAGATTGAGATGACTCAAGATGGTAATTTGGGGAAATTCAAGTCCCAAGTACAAAGCTCTCAGGTGATTGGTTCTTGTTCTTCCTTTTTGAAGCATGTCTATGACCCTAATCATACACATATTGCAATGTTGCATCCTTTTTATGCTGTAAATTCTTAAAGGCCCCAGATGAAGTTGAAATAATCATCCAGATTGGAAAATCATTAGTGGGTGTAAATCTTATAAGTGAATTTGAACATGGGTTAAGAAGCATTTGTTTTGATACTGATGGAGAATGTGGCTATGGATGACCCCTTTCTTTTATTACATTGGCATCTTAATTGGAGGTTGTAGTTGACATCTAGGTTATCCACATGATGAGATAGATTTTACTATATTGAAGGTGGGTGGAAGGGAAATTCTTGATTTTGTATACTTTAATCATCTTTTGGGAGCCTATGAGAGGATATATGTATAAAATGTAACCTAGAATACCCATCACATGAAAGAAAATCCTTATTGAAGAGCTCAAATGGGCAATATGCTGGATAAGAACATTCACACACCATTCATTTAGGATTTGCATCCCCCTCAATTAGGATGATGATTTCTGTTGAATTGTGCTATCAAAACATAATTTGAGTTGTTGATTTCAAAAGGGATAGAGATTAACCAAATATTTCTGAAAATTTCACACGGTTGTGCAAATATGTAACAAATGAAACATCACACTTCATGTTCTCCTTGGTGATCTGCTGATATTTATAAGGCTAATTTTATCAATCCAATTAGAATGTTCTCACTGAGGATCTTTTAATCTCCTTTATCTCTAGTTTAGTTAAACCATGTATAACCAAGTTTAAGAGATGATGACTTGTAGAAGATCCCTGATTTAACTCTCTACTTGCTTCATCTGGGGAACCATGATATAATAAGATGTTTTCATTGTAATTGATCCTTCAACAAGGAGATGGTTGTAACGCACAGTTGTACTCTTCTTTCTACTGCTACCAATATATTATTTTGAACATGGTTTTTAGTGATCATGCACTCTTCTATATCTATCCCCGAGATTTGATTGGTGTTGTTCCACAATGCAAACTTATTCCTATATGACAATATTTGGCTTCTTGGTTTATTCCGAGGAATACTCTTGTGGAGTAGGATTATGTGGCTCATTTGTTAAATACCAACTCTATGTTTTTCTATAAATGAGTAGCATGATGTCCGTTCTTCACTCCACTGGTATTTTGAGTAGGCATCTCATCCTTGCTATAAATGTTAATAAGTACCCCTGGAGTTGATAAGAACTCCATCTTCATCAAATTTAGTAGACGTTATAAGTTCCATCTTTCTTTGTCTCACGTTGTTTACATATGTTCTTTCCTTCTAAAATTTCGTTCAATTCTTTCGTTTATATTTTGGCATTGGGTTTGTTAACCTTTTTTCTTGAACCTAAATTTTCTATTTGACAAGGCCTGATTATTATATGGTTAGGTTGATCACATGGACTTTTATTTGTAAGTTTTGATGAATGTTTTAGTCAAATAAGACAATATATGTGAAACAATTTTTTGTAGCATCTATGTTTAGTTTATTTGGGTTCATTATCAGATGCCTAAACTATAACCGTTTGCTTGTTGACGCTCTTTTTTTCTAGTTAGTTTGATTTTGGGTATTTAGACAGGCTAAGTTTGGTCTAACCTGAATTTTCTAGTTGATAAAATTTAATGGATTGCCTTAACCGTGTAGGAATCTGTGGACGCTGTTCAAAGTCATAATTTTTAAGTTGTGCATCTCAAATGCAGCATTAACACCATCTTTTGTGTTTTTATCTCATGCTATATTTTGTGTTTTTTGTCAATCCAGGAATATATTTTGTGTTATATGTTACTCCCATGGAATCTTGTGGACCAAAATTAGTGTTATCTACGGGTTTGTTGGTTATTAAGGGTGTGTTTGGTACACGAAACAGGACAATACAAAAATTTGTTGTCCCACGTTTGACACGACATTAGACTTCGATAGGACAAGACCTGAGTGGGACAAAATTTTATTTTTTTTTCTGTCCCACCTAGATAGGTGGAACCAAAGAAGGGAGATGGGACAAGATCGGTAAATTACTAAACTACCCATGTCAAATTAAAACCACAACCTTCTACAAGTCAAATGCAGGCTGATGGACATGAGCATATCATCTTTCCTGATCAAAGTGCAGTGCTGTTCTCTTTGATTTGCTTATTTTGGTGGATTGTCTTTCAACTCCCTAGTTTAACCAACAAAAGGGATTTTTTTGGAATTTCTTCTTCCAACCAGTTGGATTCTGTTAATCTTTTTGCAGGAAAATCATTTCTCATCATTGCAGCGTGAGACGGAGAAGTTGAGGAACGATATAGAGAAGATGCGCAGTGAGTTGAGGTATCCATGATTGACTGACGACTATTGATTCAACTACTTCTAGCAGCATATGATTCTGTGATCGAACATACCTTCAAATTTTGATCGGATTTGCTAAAGATGAAACCTCTTCATCGCTCATCAAATCTCTATTTGTAACTCGAAATTAGTTGATTATTGATTTTGATTGTGACACAGGTACGAAATTGACAAAGTCACTGCGGGACAGCGTCTGGATTTGAATCTTGAAAGGGGGTAACGAGATGCATCTCTTTTATTTTTTGAATAAAGTGATCGAATTTTTGAACTATTGTACTTGCTCTTCGTTCCAAACTAACCATTGTTGGCAAGAACCAATTATTTTAATGCAAAAAAACCCTAGCATTTTTTGCCCAAAATTGCTCAATTTTGCAAAGTATCGAGTTTTTGGTGCATTTTATTAAAAACCCAACAGATCGTTTGCAACAAAAAGATAAGCACGATAGTTCAAAAAATCATAACAACCCTTTATGAACGTTGTATGTTAGTGCACACTTTCTTTTGAAGTTACATATGAATGAATGCAGGAGAATTCGTGACGAGCTAGCAAACCAAAGCCAAGAAACTGCTAACCTCACAAACAAGCTTGATCGGGTGAGTAAACGTGTCCTCTTTTATCGCGGTTTTATTGAAAATAGTTTGACTAAAATGTTGACTTACGGGAACTGGTTTAGGAAATTCATTCGTTAAGAGCTCAATTGGAAGCAGCGAAATACGATGTGATCAAGTACTGCATAGGTACCCTTGTCTCGATTTCTGCTGTTGGACTGGCGGTGTTACGTATACTCATGTAAAACTGTAACGTTTAGCGTTAACACATAGAGAAAAAAATATTCACGCGTTTTATATTGTTCGTGATGAATGAAGATGAAAATGTAGCATATTATAAACTAATTTTAACCTTAATGAGTTTGTTCTTTCCCTTCATGCTCTTTGTTTTTTGATGATATTGCTTCTGCCCTTAGAATGGGTGTATATTGAAAGTGAGCAAATCTCGTAACTATTTGGATTATTAAAGGATATGACATTAAAACAAATTAAACCAAACGCATCCAATATATCATATTTAGAAGCGGTGTGTGAGGGAGTTGGAATGGACATAAACTCTCTTTTCCCCGATAGATGAAGAGATTGTTTTCATTCAGACCCGATTCGAATAGTATTATTTCCAAACTCAACTTGGTTCGTTCATCAACACCGACGATCTTTAGTGAGTTTAAGGAGGTGTAGTTAGCGCGCGCATACACACATATATATATAGAAAGAGAGGGGAAGATCAAATGTTAATCAACAATTTTGTGTTAACTTTGCAAACCATGTCAACTAATCAAATTCCATTCTTCTAATAGGTTTATGTCATGTTTACAATTTAATTACAAGAATAATTTAGTAAATTGATTTGATATTAATATATATATATATATATATATATATATATATGTTATTGTACATACTTTCAGGACCATTTTTGTCATTGTTGCATAGTTATGAATTGGTTTATATTAGAGTTGTTCATGGATACTATTCTTGAAAAAATTGACCGGCTCAAGCTAGAATATTAAAATTAATATTTTTTTTAAAAAGTGTAAGAAGCCCGACTTTTGACTAAATTACTACTACCGAGTACCAAACGTCTCTCAAGTATATATATATATATATATATATATATATATATATATATATATATATATCATATGTGATATCTCGTATAGTACGTCTGGAATCTCGATCTTGAAATATTTGGTTGTTGAAAAATTCAGACTCTACATGTTGATAAATCCTTGGAGAAAATGTGCATGCACCGTATTTTGTGAAACTATGACCTTTTTAAACTATATAGTATATACATTGTTATGTTGGAAGAAGGATATGTATATTGAAAGATTTTATATAAGTTTTCTTTTTTAAATGTAAAAGATTTTTCAGACCCATTAGCCTCTGGATAAGTTGGCTCGTTTACTGGATGGGTATGGACGAGTTATCAAGTCCGTCAGAATACGCTAAAGATTGATTTACTAGGCACGTTACACAAAATAATAAGTTAAGGTCATAACTCATCCGTATTGATCACCTCTAGTTTATATGATCTTCTTTCCCTTTGTATTATTCATAGTTTTCTTCAATCAAATACAATGACAGAAGTTTTTCTCCATCGCCTCTATCAATTGATTGATTATTATTACTGAAGATCAAAAAATAATAAATTATATCTACTGCAAGACCCACCCGTCGATCAGGGACGAAAGTCGATCTTAGTGATCCGACGGTGCCGAGTGGAAGGGCCGTTGCTCAACGGATAAAAGTAACGATTTGGGTACTGTCTCGGAGAGAGGCCCAACGTGCCTAACAGTATCAAGTTGTTTGAGTCTATCTAGCATCAATGAGAACGACATTGTTGTAAGTTTGATTGCCATTTTATTTGTAATTGGAAAATACTCGTGATTTTTAAATAAGAATCCGATTAGACCAATGTTTACTATCACTCAAACTTCACCCCGGAAAGAATCAAACAATTTTGTTGGTATGTTATTAGACTTGACATATATGTTGATTCGGTACAATCGATGAATACATCCGCTTGACTTGTGGGTGAAAAGATGCAGACATGCATGTATTCAGTATTTCTTTTATTCGAGTTTAGTTAATAATCGTACCAACCTATGAGTATATTTACACGAAAACGAACTTATAATAAAAATTCAGTACTTTTTTTAAAAAATAATGTTATAATTATTTAAAGTACAATAAGTACCTAATAATTTTAAATTAATGTTGTGTTTTCTTTAAAAACATGGTTCAAAAAAAGTTCTTGAATTTATTGTATATAATATTGTTACTTATAGAACACAAAGAAATTATTCGTTTAAAGATTTTTCTTGGTAATCGTGGGTTTTGGGTCAGCTTACACACACCGACTAATCTCTACGTGACCACGAATGGTCTCGAGTCATTACATGTGAACCTCGGGGCCATAAGAGCTTTCGTAGTGTTTAAATTCAAACACGGAGTAGATGAGAATTTCCATTATGCCATTCTAAGGTTTAACCACTGTATCATTTGTTTAAAGTTATTAACATGATGGGATGATTATAACATATTAAAATTAAAAAAACCTAAAATAAATTGTTTCCTTAAAATAAAAAAAATAGTAAATTATGATTTATATCGTTATGATTTTTTAATAATTTTGATTTTCATTCTTATGTTTTAGAAAGTGTCATCTTCGCTTCAATGGTTCGTAATTTATTGTTATTTTTATTTTTGGCTATATTTTCTACCTTTAAGTATAAGGGACCAAAACAGTAATAAGGTATAAACCATAAGAACCAAAACAATAATATATTGTAAATTATAAGAACAAAAATAGTAATAAATTACAAACAATAAAAAAAGAAAAATTGAAATTTTTAACAATTCATAAGGACAAAAATCATATTTTATTCTAAGAAAAATAAGGGAAGGCGTGCTCTTTCGTAGGTAGGTGGACTGGACCGCATTTAGCCCACTACCATCGAATCCTATTCGTTAACATGTCACTGCACACCAACTTGTTCATTAGGGTTCGGGTCCTATGCCCATTGCTCACGAATATCCCATTTAACGTGTATTCCATCTCTATTTCTCTTTTATAAACATGATAAATTTAGTAATGACGGTGGTGGTTGTGATGGTGGTGATTGTGGTGGTGGCGGCAACAATGGTGGTGGTCGTGGAGGGAATGTGAAAAGTTTTTGTTATGGAAGAGGGGGAGTTAGAGGTGGAGGTGGGTGGTGGTGAGGATGCGGAGGACGTCCTTCATCCATAAAAAATGACAACGAAAAAAGCATGCTAGAAATAAATCGAGTATATGATCACCCAATTGATTGTTTAATTACCTGTTTGCTCCATTTTCATCAAACTGACAATTCAATTGATTGTACGAGTTTCAAGAGTGTGCCAATAAAAATGTGGTTTTAGAGAAGCAAAGACACGTTATATAACATCAGTCACACTTGGTTTGCTTTCGACCATGTGCTATGTTCGATAAAGATAAACGCAAATAGTAAATTATGGTTTTCGTTCACGGGACATGGAAAATACAATAAAAAATGAAAAATCAAATAAATTTGATTTGGTCGTGTGGTGGATGTTGGGATAGTGTCCAACACCTCACCTCACATTATTTGATGCATACATGGAGCGTCCATGACCATACATGTGTGATACTTGGTGTGACATGAAAATATGACACTTTTAGTCCCTCACTTTTTTTTTTTTTTTTGAAAAAGAACAAATGAGGCCCAATCAAGTTTCGGCATTACCATCACCCGATTGAGAATCAATCATATTATTAAAAACGTGATCATGACAAAAATCGTTAATACAATGTAAGAGCAGGGACGTTCCAATCTTTTTTGAGGCACCGCTACATCCAAAACTTTTGATTGCATTGCATAAATGATATAACATAGAATATATGTTAAGAACAAATGGGGTAAACCTAAGACGATTAACAATCTGAAACTAAACTTAAACCATTAATAATTTGAACATAAAACCAAAGAATTAATGGTTTGAACCTAAATAATTTCGACTATAGTTTTATACAGGTCGATAACAAGACCATAAACACATGTAAATTTGGGCCTCAAAATTTCTGGAACCATGTTCAAAATCTCACATTTAACATGTTAAGGAACGACCCTGTGTAAAAGGAAGGACGGAGTTACATCAAAAAATTTAGTACAAGATAAATAACGAGAGTGTCTAGCAATTAAGTGAGCCGCTCTGTTGGCTTGTCTCCCAATCGCATGGATAGTCCCTCACTTAGATATCACAATTCTCCAAAAACCTCCTCCAACTTGGAAAAAGTAGGAGAGAGAATGAGAGATGATGAAAATTCTTTAAAATTGAAAAACTTCCCAAAAATAATTACTGATGAAAGGAAAATTATTTTTTATTATTCCTACCAATATTAATCCTTGAAATTAAATGTATAGAAGAGAGAAATATATTTTATGAAAAATATTAAATATTTTAATAATATAATTTATATTGTAATCTCCATAACGGATAAGTTGCGTTGGAGATGAATACAGTTCTTTTTTGGAGATTTTGACATACCATTCTTCGTTTGGAAGAACCTTTTGGAGATGCTTTTATACACAGCTGTCATGGGATTTTTTTTTTCATTTCTTCATGGTGGTTACTGATTGCACTGTGGTTAGATATTCGGAGTTGATTATATGAAAAACTGTTACCAATTGTTGTAAAGACCGGAAGAGTCGAATCTGAATCATTTACTTGTCCTAACAAGGGAACTTGTCTAAATTTTCAACGCAGATTTAATAGTATAAATATTTACTTTTTGTTGATTTAATTCTCTTATAATGTAATACAAAACATCGCCTTTGAACTCCAGTTGAATATAACGTTGTTCATGTGTATTTTTCTTGAAAAATCTACACTGATATAATTGGAATTTTTTTAAAGTATAATACTTTAATAAATAAAAAATTTAAAATACAATATTATAATAAAAAATATGTAAGTGCAACTCCATAATAAAAAAAATGTAAGAAGGGTCTGTTTGGTTTACATAATTGATGAGAGATTTGAATTCATAAAGGGATTTTGATTGGAATCGATTTGAAATCATTAGTGTGTTTGATTTATAGTATTTTGAATAGAATTGAATTTCATTATTTATAGTTTTATGCATATAAATAATTATAAAAATAATTGATTACATTTTTGTTAATCGATTATTACAAAATAAATGTTTTTAACATTTTTTAAAATCTTATTGTATACAATCCTACGAAATTCTACAAAATCCCAAGAAATCCTGAACACTCCCTAAGAATTTTAAAATACTATGTTTGAAGAATTTCAATTAAATCCTACAATTTCAAATCCAGAAAATCCAATAAACGAAACATGGAATTGAAATGAATTTGAAATGTTATTTCATGTACTAAGCCCCTTAATTTTTTTTCTAGATTTTTATTAATTAAATATTGATTTTATCAATTTTTTTACCGGAAAACCTTTTTTGCACATGAATATAATAATTCATGAAAATGAATGGTTTTTGATGAATTTTAAAAAATAAAATTATTTATGTGGTAAATTGGATGGTTTAGAATCAAAAAATAGACAAAGTAGAAGTAACAATTTCATCAAACTAGCATACACTAAAGACTCTCTCCTACTCGATTGAAACTGCCTACATAAACCTACATCACCCGGTTCACTTCAAAACCCGGTTCACAACACTTCAAGAACTCTGAACCGGAAGAGATACACCGCCGTCCACTGCCTCTTCCTTCTTCCGCCGCATTTCCAGAACTTTCCGGTGATTGTTAGAGTGAACTTCACTGGAAAATGTGGGGCTACAAGCAGGTCGGTATTCTGGTAAGAGCCGACCCGACTTATACCGAACTCCACATGCGTTACACAGTGTTTTGGCACCTAGTGGACCGGCTCGCCACTGTGGGGTTTTCTGAACCAGGCAATGGCTGCAACGCCGAGGCTGCGGCTGGCCGGAACCCGTCGTCTCAACCATCGCCGCCGGTTTTTTCTTCTTCTGCCTCTTCACCGGCGCTTTCCCCAAAATTTCTTCTAAGGCTAGCAGAGGTTTTGAAGTACAAGACGAGGAGGAAGAAGACGAAGCTGAAGAATCCGTCAACGGCGTCGACGACCGGAGTGACCAAACACGGCCGCCGGTACGACTCCGCTTACTTCTCGCTTTTTTATAAACCATGCTCTTAAAAGAAGGGTTTACAGCAACAAGAGTCACCGTTTCTGTCTCCAGTTTCCTCTCCGGTAACTTCCCCTCCGCGCATGTTAACAAGTATCCGCCGGAAAATGAGTCGTCAACGAATTGCGACACCCATTCAAGGTCAGCCACATCATCCACCTGTAACACAAGGTTAAAAACCAACAATCAAAAAACAAAAAAGGGGTCATTTTTGAAAGAATTCTCACCGGCAAACAGAGTTCCGTCTCCGGGACGGTGGTTCTGTCGTGGTTGTCTGTTTTGATCGGAGAAACAGAGGAGGGTTTTTGGTTGTTGGTATCATCTGGGTGTTTTAGAAGTTGGGAATTATCGTCGTCTTGGACAAAAGCAGCGTCTGTAGAGAAGTCCAGTAAGCCATCAACGAAGAAATCGTCGGCATTGAGGGGCAAAAAGTCATCGGAAAAGGAGGGTGGAAGATGGTTGAATTTGAAAGTGGGTTTGGATTGGGATTGAAGACAGTCCATTTGAATCATATGAATGGAAGAATTGGTAAAAGGGAATGGAGCTGAATAGCAAAAGAAAATGGGGGAATAAATGGAGTCTTATGATTGATGTTATCAAGGATAAGTAGTAACCCCACATGCCTTGCCTCACACAATAATAATACCACGGCTATATATATATATATGTATATATATATATATATATATATATATGTGTGTGTGTGCGCTATATTTCTAACCCTTCAAACCACAATTCCTTTTTTTTTTATTATCCTAGATATCCAACTCGTTATGCGAGCCGACTAATTTCAGAACGACAACTTGTTTTGCAAATAGTCCAGAGTTAACGTATTTGAACTTTCGTGGCCACAATGAGATTTTTATTCCTCCTTGAATTTGAACATGGGATCTCCTAGTACTTTTAACATTTGAAGTCAAGCTCAAACCAATCAGACACCACTCTTGTGGTTAATTCCTTTATTTTATGTAGAGGTCAAAACATTTTTTTTTACTTTATTTTATTATATCTTTATATTGTAGTTTATTACATGTGATAGTAAATAAAATACATGAGCGACCTTTGCCACAAATTATGTTGCGGGCCAAGTAGTCCAAAAAGTGTCAGGTTTCCTCAAGTGTATAATTAAATGTAATAAATATGTTTATATTGCTTTTTTTTTAAATTAAAGTGGTTCCGATTGAAACCCCAAGTATGGTGATAATCGATTCATCATGTAAAACATTATCTTAAAATATCTTAAGGGCATTTAATTTGAATGAACGGTTTTGAGGGATTTTGATTTTGTGTAAGTATTTGGAATCGGTGGGATTTGGATTTGGATTTGAAAGGATTTGGAATCTTTGGTGTGCTTGGTTTTTAGGATTTGGAATCGGATTGAATTTCGTTTTTTCTAAATAATTTATTACAACAAATTATAAAAATAATTAAATTACCTTTTTATTAATTGATTATTGTAAAATAAATGTTTTTAGCATATTTTAAATTACTAAAACGTACAGATACTATGAAATCCCACGAAATACCAACAACCTTCATGGGATTTCTAGATCCCATGTTTGTGGGATTTCAATGAGATTTCAGGATTCCAAATCCAAGCAATCATTCAAACCAAACATGGAATTAGAATATAATTGAATTCCAAATCCTATCTAATCCTACAAACCAGACGTGACCTTAAAAATAATAGATGTTACTTAATACCTTAAGTTCTAGCATTAAATCCAATGAGGAAAAAAAACTCTCTTGTGGTCAAAAGTTCTAGAATTAATACCTTAAGGTCAAAAGTTTCTGAAGGTCACATGTTCAAATTCAATGGAAAAAAAAAATCTTCTTATGGCCACAAAGGTTCAAATGCGGTGATTTCGGGCTACCCGCAAAGCAGATGGTCGCCCTAGGATTAGTCGGCTCGCATAGCGGGTTGAATATCCAGATTAATTAAAAAAAAGTTCTAGCATTAAATAAAAAATATGTGACATTATCTTAACATACAAGTTCTCACAGTATTCGTGATGTTTGAAATTCTCATTTGATTATACCCTTGTATATATTCAAAAAAGACTACAAATCTATGAGAATCAATATAAAAAATATATTTTTACATGATTATTTTCCATCAAAACCTATGATTTAAGTCACTATTTCTTATTTTCACATATGATTGTGTTCAGTTTTTGAAAAACATGGAGCTTTTTCTGTTCACCTATTGAAATGAAAAATACACGTAAAACCGATTTACATTGCAAGACAAATACATGTAAAACTATCATATATTAAAACAAAAATATATGAAACTATCACATGATGAAACAAATACAAATAAAACTATGATATTAAATATTTTCATGTGGATATTTTTTGTTACATAATTTTTTATTAAAAAATTCTGATTTAAATGCAATTAATTGACAAAAAGATTTTAAAAATATGGGAAAGCATTGAAGGGGACAATAGTCTTTTAAAATATTTATTAGTCAAATTGATAAATACATTTGGAAATAAAATCATCTTTTTTATTATAGTTTTTTATTACATTTTTCGTTTATCGGTTTTACAAATGCTGAATTTTGATTGGAGGAGAGAATAAATTTGGCATCTCCTTATGTGAAATAAGAACGCATGATGATAATCACAAAGGTGATATCTGATTAGTTTGAACTTGAGTTTTTTAGGTCTTAGATTTAAATTTAAGGAGAAATAAATATCTCATTGTGGCCATAGAGGTTCAAATGTGTTACTTTAGACTATCTACAAAGCAGGTGGTCGTCCTGAGATTAGTCAGCTCGCATAGTGGATTAAATGTTTAGATTAATAAAAAAAGACTGTGATTTTTGTACATGCTTACTTTTTTTCTTTCTGTAAGTACATTTATTGTTTTGGAAAAAATAGTTATAAAAGTTTATTTTCATCTGTCGACGCTTGCAACAATTATGGTAAGATGTTAATAAAACGGTTACGCTTGAGAAGATGCTTCGATGTTACTCAATATGAATATTTCAATATCAATCAAATTTTATATCTATACTATATTATAAAGCATTTGATAAAAACTCTTAAAAACCATTGTTTATGCATTAAGTATTGATTATTGATGCATATTACTTAAAATTCAAGATTACAAGTAAATTGTACGTATGTACAACTTATTAAAGCTC